GTAACAGGGAATGCTAAAGTTTCGTGGGGAGGGGGACTGATCGTAAGAGCGGAGAGTTCATTGGCAATGGTTTTGATATCTCGGATGAAAGAGAGGGTTTCCTGAAGGAAAGGCTTTGGAAACGGAGTGAGTGCGGCGGTGGCCGCCAGCGGCAGAGCAGTGGGTGCCTTGCACGCCGTGGGCGGAATGGCGGAAGCGCTATGCACTGGAGGCGAAATGGCGGCGGCGGGTGCGTGAGAGGTACTATAAGGAGGCGGTTTGAATGGTGGAAGGACTGCCGCTACAAGCGGCGGCCAGTCGGGATTATTGTAGCGAGCGGCCTCGTACTCTAACTCTGCCTGTTCAGAGGGGTCTAACTGGTTGCCGGGGTCCTGGGAATTGGGGGGTGGAGCAGAGGAATAGAAGTCCTGAAGGGGAGGGTACAGAAAAGGGACTTGAGGGTCTGCATCTATTCGGATGGAAACAGAAGGACAGTTTGAAGGCGCTCGTGAGGTAGGTCGCGAAAGCAAGTCAGCACGATCGGGAAGGCCGTGGACTGAGGGGGGCTTTGGAGGGGGCCGGGGATTGATTGCGGAGAATTTCTTGCCCTTCTTTGCAAAGGCGCTGTATGTCAGGGGGAATTATTGTGGTTTTTAAGGATGTCTGTTATGAGGTTATAATAATCAAAGGCAGTTATAGGGATAGTCTCGGGGCCAAAAACCTTATAATAGTCATTTAGACAGTTGCCTACACGGCGCCAGACGCGGGAGTCAATGCTACCCTCCTGAGGAAACCATGGGCAGATTTTAAAAACGAAAGTGAAAAAGGAATTCAAATCTTTTTTACGAACTCTTATCTTGCGCACCTTGAAAGACTCTTTTAATTGAGCAACGAACGAATCATGTTGTGAGCATGCCTGTCCCATGGCTGGGTCTTACCTTTTGAAATGCCGCTGTCGGGGAACGGGGGTCTTCAGGGAATGCCGGCGCGCGGTCGAGTGGTCGCGGTGAGCCGGGCGAAACGCTGCGATCGAGGGGGACAGCGGTCCGCACAGGCGATCAGCGGGGCCCCACGTTGGGCGCCAGTTGCCTCGGCCCGCGAGGCAGTCAACGGGGTCCGCCGATGTACCTGTAACGGATGAAGGGGGATGGGACAGGAGGCGCGAAGAATGGCAGCAAGACAAAGGATTCTGATCAAGCTGCAAATTTTATTTCAAAATGGAGGGAGTTATATAGAGGAGGGCAGTGGAGGAAGTGCAGTGGATAGGGGGCTTCAAAGCGTGCTCTAGCCTGCAATTGGCCGGGGGGTGCATGGCGGGCGCGTGATCAAGGCACTGATTGGTGTGCCACCCGCGTGTCCAGGAGGGGGAGTTCCATGGCTCCTAACCGCAGCATCCTGTTATTCAGGTGCAACCTTCAGGTCGGATTGTATCAGCCTGTTTCAGGCTTATCCCAGCCCCCAACAGGGAAATATTGGAAAAATAACAGAATTTTCCCAATTTTTGCCAGTGGTAAAAACGTGCTCAACGTTTTTAATTTCTGCTAGTCTGATAGACAAATATTTTACTATTGTTTAAATTTGCACTTATATTAGATAACTAAAGGGCTTTAGCATGTTTGCAAGTGTTTATTTTTTTATTTTTATTTTTTAAGGATTTTATTTATCTTTTAGAGAGGAGGGGAAGGAGAGAAGGAGAGAAATATCAATGTATGGTTGTCTCTCATGAGTCCCCTGCTGGGAACTGGCCTGCAACCTAGGCATGTGCCCTGACTGGGAATCGAACTGCGATTGTGTGGTTCGCAGGCCTGCCCTCAATCCACTGAGCTACACCAGCCAGGGCTGCAAGTGTTTATTAGCCATTTTTATACCTTCTATGATTTGTACATATTCTTTGTTCATTTTTCTGTTGGGTTTTATACCATATTGATTTTGTAAAAGATTCTTATATTCAGGATATAAATCTTGTGGCCGGTTGTAAGTCTCATAAACATTTTTCCTTAGTATGACACTTGTCCTTTGACAAGCCCACAATGCTTTTCTTTGTATAGAGGTTAAAGTTCATACAATGAGATCGTTATTTTTCCTTTATGGCTTTGAGGTTTTTATAACCTGTTTGGGTGATCATTTCTACCTCTTTAATTACAAAAGTGACCTTCTGTTTTAAATATTCTATTAGAAAAGCTTTTTCCACACATTCTCCAAATTTTTCATTTTTATTCTTAGCTTAAAATATGTAATTAACAATTATTAAAGTGTCATTTTTCAAATTAAATTATTAATTATTGGTTACATTTATTTACCTTTATGATTGATTTACATTTTATTTAATAATTTTGAAGTAAATTTTAGTTTGTAAACATTCCACCAAGTTAGGGATAGTATAAAAAGGATATGTTTTCTCTTTCTCTCTCCCTAAAACTTCTCATCATACTCTTGTCTCCATTGCTGATTGCTGACCTGTCTGATGTCTGTCTTTCAGATAGATCTCTTTGTAGGAGACAATCATACACTGTGATTTTTCCTCCATGCAGTTTCTTTCCAAACCAAACACATAGGATTGTTTTATTTGGGAACTGTTTTTAACTATTACAAGTATGTTGGAAGATCTTTCTGTATATCACCACAGTATGTGCATATGTGTATGTATGTGATATTCCTGTTAAGCTTGTTAGTCTTATAGAAAGCACTGAGGAGCTTCCCTTAGGAGCACACTGAGGATGTGACTTGTTAACATCCATTGCAGAAATCCTCTCTTTCTGAAGGCAGAAGGACCCACTGTAACCCTTTTCTTACTTGTTTAGTTTTTTCTGTGTTTACTGTTCTTTTCAGTTTTTCTGCCTCATATTAAGCCATTTTAGTTATATATATTTCAAGAAAATTTATTTCATTCAAATAAAACAAAATCAACCAGAATGAAGCTGTACCTACTATTATCTTGTGGTTTAAAACATCTTCACAGCTGTTGTTGTGTCACTTTTTTTAAGCTAACTTTTCAAACGTATTCTATTTTTTTTTCTATTGCTTGACTTCTCAGAATTTTGCTTATTTTAATGATATTTTTGAAGAATCAGTTTTGGGTTTTATTTGTCAAACCTACTTTTATTATGGTTATTTTATAATTAAAAAAGTTTATATCTTATTCCTTTTTTAAAAAGCTCCTTATGTTATTTGCTTAGTTATATCTTATATATTTAAGTATATGCATATATACTCAGAGCTATACAACTTCCCTTGCATACTTATTTGGACATATCCCACAGGTTTTAATTGGTCATGGTCTTGTTGTATTCTGTTTCTGAAGCGTTTTAACTCTAGTTTTTATTTTCTCTTTAACCCAAGTTACCACTAGCTTTCTCTGTTGTCCCTTTTATCCTGTATATTACAAGTCTATTTGATATTTTCTTCTAAATACCAGTTTTGTTGAACTCCATCATTTTTATGTAAATATTGGTTGTCATTGAGTTTCAAACATTTTATAATTTTCATTGTAGAAATTAATTTCGCTTCCAAAATGTACTTATAATATTGATTTCTTATTATTTCTAATTTTACTGTAACCTGGTAAGAGTGAAAGGTATTGAGATATCCTTGCTATTCCAGCACAGTGTCAGTGTTTTCAAATGTTCTTAATGAGCTCGATTAGAACATGTATCTTACTGATGTTTTCCTTTTCTGTGAAAAAACTTTTTTAGTTTGTAGTCTCATTTATTTTTTCTTTTGTTTCCCTTGCCTGGGGAGATATATCTGATAAAAAAATTTCTATGAACAATGAGATTTTTCAGCCTGTGTTTTCTTCTAGGATTTTATGATTCCAGGTCTAACATTTAAATCTTTGATCTATTTTGAATTTATTCTTGTGTGTGGTGTAAGAAAATGGCCTAGTTTCATTTTTCTGCATGTATATGTCCCATTTTCCCAACATGATTTATTGAATAACAAATTATTCTTTAGCCTATTTTCTGTGCTTACTTCCTCTGTCAAATATTGACTGTAAAGATATGGGTTTATTTCTAGTCTATTTTGTGCCATTGATCTATGTGTCTGTTTTTATGCCTGTACCATGTTGTTTTTATTATTAAGGACTTACTGTACCATTTGATACTAGATAGCTTGATTCCTCCAACTCTGTTATTCTTTCTCAGGATCACTGTTGCTGTGCTGGGCCTTTTGTGGTTCCATGTAAATTTTAGAAATATTTGTTCTAGTTCTGTGAAATATGTCATTGGAATCTTGATAGGAGTGGAATTTTTTCTTTTGCTGTTGTAGAAGCAGACATTTTATTTCCAAGCTCTTTAAAGATTATCACAAACACAAAGTATTCTTGTGAAAGTGTCTCAAATTAAATCAAAGGCACAACATAAAACATGACATTAAAAATTCATTTAGTTTGTAGAATGTTCAAATTACTTTGTTTTTAATCACTTGCAATGTTCTGTAAGTCACATTTTAAATGTTTTTCAAAGACATGAAATAAGGTACGACTAAGTACAGCCACAACTCCCGAGGGACTTAGGAAGAGCTGTGCGTCACATACAGAACTGGGAGATCGAATACACGATGCATTCATCTTTCCAACGAGTTTGCTAAGAAACATCTTTCATGTTTAGTGTTAAAAATAAAAGTCTTCTCACTTACAAAAATCAAGACATCATTTGATTAATAAAGCCTATTCATCCCACAATTTTATACTGGCTTTTCTTCATTTAGAAATTGTAAATTCATGAGAAAGGGACAAATTTTTTTATAGCATAAAAATCTTAGGAACAATAAAATTCCAAATATTGAGTTTTTTAATAGACAAAAATGGTTTTCTTTCCAAAATGTAAACATCCAGTAAATAAAACATACATCATATTCCAGGTATAGAAACACTAGTAATTCCCTTGTGAAAGAGGTACATTTCTGTACATTTGGTGGTTAGGTTTTTGGCTTAAGTATAAAGCACTTCACTAAACAAAGTGGGCCATTATTACTTAAAAATCTACTCCTTTTCCCAGTTTCTTTGAGTTGAAACTCATAAATTTCTGTAGAATTTTGGCAATAGGACCAGGCCTCTGGGAAGGTCTGAAATACCTAAAAGTCATTTGGTTGGGGAAAAATGCTTTCTTGAGACTTGGAGGCAGGCATTCATCACTTTGTGCTTGAAGGCATTCCTTGACCCACTTCTTTCCTACAGTGTTCAGAGTAGAGCACAGGATCTGGGATCCCTGAAGGGGTTACTTCCCTCTGGAACGCTGACCAGCAGGGCATCCTTGCAGGCATTGTGCATGCAGTACTGTTGAAGCTCTGCAGCAGCCTGGGAGACCTTGATCCTTTCCATGGTGGCCTCCAGCTTAAGCTGTTCCACAAGGCGCTGCAGGGCATTCACACTGGCCCCCATGGACAGGGTGGCAGTGCTGCGCTCCGAGGGCGGGAGCTGGGCTGGCTCAGGAGTGGCATTAATTTATAGATTACTTTGGGTAGTATGGACATTTTAATGATATTTCTTCCTATCCATAAACACCGTGTGTGCTTCCATTTATTTATATCTTCTTCAATGTCTTTCTTCAGTGTCTTGTAATTTTCTTAGTATAGGTCTTTTATATCCTTGGTTAGATTTATTCCTAGGTGTTTTACTATTTTTGAAGCAGTTATGAGTGGGGTTATTTTCTTGATGTTCCTTTCTGTTAGCTTGTTATTGGCATATAAAATACAGCTGATTTCTGGATATTAAATTTGTATCCTGCTACTTTGCTGAATTCATTTATTAGTTCTAGTAGTTTCTTGGTGGAATCTTTGGTATTCCCTGTGTACAGACTCTTGTCATCTGTGGCTAAAAACTTCCTTTCCAATTTGAAAGCCTTTTATTTCTTCTTCTTGTCTGATTGCTGTGGCTGGGACTTCTTAGTACTGTGTTGAATAAGAGAGGTAAAAGCAGACATCTCTGTCCTGTTCCCAGTCTAAAGGGTAATGCTTGTAGTTTTTGTCTGTTGAGTATGATGCTGGCAGTGGGTTTGTCATATATGGTCTTTATTATGTTTAGATATGTTCCCTCTATTCCCACTTTTCTGAGAGTTTTGATCACAAATTGGTGCTGGATTTTATCAAATGCTTTTTCTGCATTTATTGATATGATCATGTAGGTTTTATCCTTAATTTTTTATGTAGTGCACCATATTTATTGATTTGAGAATGTTGTACCAACCTTGCATTCCTGGAATAAATTCCACTTGATCATGGTGTATGATCTTTTTGATGGATTGCTGTATTTGGCTTGCTACTATTTTGTTGAGGATTTTAGCATCTGTGTTCATCACTGATATTGGCCTATAATTTTCGTCTCTTGTAGTGTCTTTATCTGGTTTTAGAATTAGGGTAATGCTTGCCTTGTAAAATGAGGCCTTCCTCTTGAATTTTATGAAGTAGTTTGAGAAGGAGAGGTGTTAGTTCTTCTTGGGATGTTTAGTTAAATTCACCTATGAAACCGTCTGGTCCGGAGCTTTTGTTTGTTGGGTTTTTTTGTTACTGCTTCAGTTTCACTAGGTACAATCTGTCTATTCAGATTCTCTGATTCTTCCTGATTTAATTTTGGAAGATAGTATGTTTCTAGCAACTTACCCATTTCATCCAGGTTGTCTAGTTTGTTGGCATATAGTCATTTATAATATTTTCTTAGAATCCTTTGTATTTCACAACCCATAGAATGGGAGAACATATTTGCTGATACATCTCATAAGGGGTTAATATCCAAAATTTACAAAGTACTTACAAAATTCAACACCAAAACATCAAACAACACAATTTAAAAATGGGCCAAGGACCTGAATACACACTTCTCCAGAGGAACTAGAGATAGATGGCCAACAAACATGAAAAGATGTTCAACATCACTGATCATTAGAGAAATGCAAATTGAAACCACAGCAGGATTATCATTTCACACCGGTCAGAATGGCTATCATCAACAAATCAACAAACAACAAGTGCTGGCGAAGATGTGGAGAGAAGCGAACCCTTTTGCACTGTTAGTGGGAATGCAGGTTGGTGCAGCCACTTTGGAAAGTAGTGTGCAGATACCTCAAAAATTAAAAATGGATCTGCCTTTTGTCTCAGTATTCTCACTTCTGGGAATATATCCAAAGGAACCCAAAACATTAATTTGAAAGAACATAAGCACCGCTATGTTCTTTGCAGCATTATTTACAATTGCCAAGATGTGGAAGCAGCCCAAGTGTCCATCAATGGATGAATGGATAAAACAACTATGGGGACATTTACACAATGGAATACTACTTGGCCATAAATAAGAAGAAAATTTTACCCTTTGGATATACCTGGGGAACATCATGCTAAGTGAAATAAGCCAGTCAGAGAAAAACAAAATGTTATATGATTTCACTCACATGTGTAACCTAGTGAATAAGCTGAACTAACAAGGAAAAGGAGACAGACTCATAGATGGAGAGCAGGATGAAGCTAGTGTAGGGAGATTGAACAAAAAAGGACTCATGGGCATGGACAGTAGTGTGGTGATAGCTGGGTGGAGTGGGGGTATAAGAGGACTAAAAGATAATGTAAGAAAATACAATAAAACTTCCGCCAAGATGGAGGTTTAAGGTGGATGTGCCATGCCTCCTCACACAACCAAGTTTAGGGACAACTAAATATTAGCATCAGAAAACACAACCAGAACACGGAAAACTGAACTTTTCGGAAGTCCGCTAACAACAAATTCTTCGGCCCTACCGGTAAGGGGCGAAACCGGCGTCGGGTGAGGAGTTACAAAGGAGGGCTCGATCTACCCGAGCGCGGAACCCAGACGCGTTGGACCTAGTGAGCGACCGAGCGGCCCACCGGGTGAGCGACTACGGAGGAGTCAGTGGGGAGGCGGTGGCAGCGAGTTGACTGTGGTTGCCTGGTTGCACACGGGTGAGGGAGTGAGCGCTTGGAGCGGCGGCGGCGGCGATAAACGGCCAAGGCGACAGAGGGCGCGGCCATTTCCCCGCTCTGACCACGCCCCCACATACAGCGTCACAACCCAGCCACCTGGGAATCCAAGGCGCCGCTCCTCCCACTTAAAGGGCCAAAACAGACCAAAAATGTCGCAGGGAGACCTCAAAGCCCCAGAGATAAATCTAAGTGACGAAGAAATAGCAAATCTCTCAGACGCACAGTTTAAAACACTGGTCATCAGCTTCCTCACAGATCTGGTGGACTATAGCCACAAATTGGAGAAACATATGAGGCTAAATTAAGGGAAATGAATGGAATTCCACAGGAAAACCATAGAGATGAAAAAAAAACTGGGACTCAAATCAATGGAGTGGACCAGAAGGAGGAAGAAAAAAATCATCAAACAGAAAGGAATGAAGAAATAAGAATTCAGAAAAATGAGGAGAAGCTTAGGAACCTCCAGGACATCTATAAACGCTCCAATATCCGAATTATAGGGGTACCAGAAGGGGGGAAAGACACAACCACCAGTGGAAAAACTATTTGAACAAATAATAAAAGAAAATTTCCCCAATCTGGCAAAGGAAATAGACTTCCAAGAAATCCAAGAAGCCCAGAGAGTACCAAAAAAGTTGGACTCAAGAAGAAACACACCAAGGCATATCATAATTACGTTAGCCAAAATTAAAATGAAGGAAAGAATCCTGGAAGCAGCAAGAGGTAAGGGGACAATCACCTACAAAGGAGTCCCCATCAGGCTGTCAGCAGATTTCTCAAAAGAGACCTTACAGGCAAGAAGGGGCTGGAAAGAAATATTCCAAGTCATGAAATCTAAAGACCTACAACCAAGATTGCTCTACCCAGCAAAACTTTCATTTAGAACGGAAGGACAGATAAGGCGCTTCTCAGATAAGACCAAATTCAAGGAGTTCATCATCACCAAGCCCTTATTATATGAAATGTTAAAGGGACTTATCTAAGAAAAAGAAGTTAAAGAAACATGAACAGTGAAAGGACAGCAAACTCACAGGTATTAACAACCACACCTAAAACAAAAGCAAACTAAAAGGACAGCTACATCAGGAGTGGAAACATAGAAATGAAGATCTCAAGGAGGGTTAGCAACAGGGGAGTGGGAGGAGGAGACGGGGGGAGAAGGTACAGAAAACAAGTAGCATAGACAGTAGATAGAAAATAGATGGGGGGGCAAGAATAGTATGGGAAATATAGAACCTAAAGGACTTGAGACACATGGACATAAACTAAAGGGGGGTAATGGTGGGGTTGGGGGGGCAGGGTGGAGGGGAATGAAGGGGGGAATAGAACAACTGTAACAGCATAATCAATTCAAAAAAAAATAAATTTATTTAAAAAAAAAGAAAATACAATAAAGATTAAAGATAAATCTTTAAAAATGAAAATATCACAAGTAAAGAGAATATATGTCCTGAGTATGAGTTTAAATCTTTCTGTAAAAATGAGTTAGAGATATTACAGTCTGTTCTGCTTTTTGAAGCTTTATTTGTTTGCTCAGATCTTTGTAGCTAGTGAATCTTTTAACATGTCCAGGATGTTTTTGTGTTTGTTTTTGTTGTTGTTTAGGCTGAAGGGCTGAGGGAATGAGGAGAAAACAGTTATCTGTTGTCCAAAATTGGTACATATTCATTTGCTCTAGTTGTGCTTTGCCAGATAAGTACTTCCCTGTCTCAGAGGGCCCAGTGAGCACAGTTGGTGGTAGGTGCATGGTGAGGTGAGGTCCACCTCTTATTTTTTCAGCTGAAACAATAGAGTCTCTGCTTCCTGATCTTGTTGGTCAGCTTGTTCTCACCTGGTATGGCCTCCTGGCTAGCCCACTGTGAGGAGATGGAACAGGAATGAAGAAGACTAACAGGCTCCTGCAAGAGCACCAACACTCACCTAGCTTCACCCATTACACTGCCACATTACCCCAACTCTGTAGGAGGCCTCACTTGTTCTCCAGCAAGCTTTCCTTCTGGTGGCTTTCAGGACCCCCTCAGCCTGCTGCCCTGTCTCTCATGCACTACATCTTGCCCAGTTTCTTCACCTTCTCATTTTCTGCTCCCCTATACTTGAGGTTTATGGAAACTGGTTCTGCATGGTGCTGGTGTTGTGTTGCTATTTGAAAGCAGGGACTCAAACAGATTATTTACACACTCATGTTCACAGCAGCATTATTCACAATAGCGAAAAAATAGAAGCAACCTAAGTGTACATCAGTCATGAGTGGATCAACAACTGTGATATATCCATCAAATAGAATGTTACTGAGCCTTAAAAAGGGGAGGAAAATCTCACATGCTACAACATGGATTAACTTTAAAGATTTTATGCTAAGTAAAATAGACACAAAAAGACAAATACTTGTATAATTCCATTTACATAAGGCACCTAGACTAGGCAAATTTATAGAGACAGAACAGTGGTTGTCAAGTACTAGGCGTGGGGAGATGGAGAATGAGTTTTTTAATGGGGTTGGAGTTTCTGTTTGGGAAGATGAAAAAGTTTTGAAGATCGATGATGATGATGGTTGCACAGCAGTATGAATGTACTTAAAAACCATTGAACTGCACACTTAATAGTTAAAATGGTAAGTTTTGTGTTATGTATATTTTACCACAGTTTTTTTAAGGCCTGGATTTTGGAACAACTCTGCCTGTTTTAAAGCAGTTTACTAAAACTTGTGCCTTAGTTATTATCTGTTAAGTAGGAATCCTACTATCAAAGGCATGGGCTTGGAGGTAACACTGTCCAATAGAGTGCTGGGACCATGACTTAGTAATGGCTCTGGCTTCCTTTCCTGGCTGCTTCTGCAAAGGGATCTCTGTTCAGCATCTTGTTTATCCCCAGCCTTCTTCCAGGAGGGCTTTGCTGTGCTTCTCCCCTCAAGCCTCAATTACCCCACCATGCCCATCATGTCCTACTTGTTCCCTGACCTACTTGTTCTCCTGTAACACCTTGTTTTTCAAGCACAACTCTAGAGGTGTTTCCCTGGGGTGTGTATGAACTTGTAACTTCCTAGGGAAGCAAGCAGGCTTGTGCTCCCTAGTTGATTATACTTAATAATGCCTGATTCCCTTTGCTTCCTTTATTAATATCTAGCTACCTATACTAATACCTCCACCTGCCCCTGACCACTGGCTTTTCCCTTTCCAGCAGACTGTGCACAGGTGTCTATCTCTTAACACTTAATATTGAGACACTTGATTCCCGCCACTTAATTCTGAGGTCCTGCACAAGATCCTCAACTGTGACTAGCCAAGACTGCAGGAGTACCTTCCCTGATCTCTCTAGCACCACAGCCAGCAGCCAGCCAGCTAAGCCCCATTGCTTCCCTGGTCACAGAACTGACCACAGTGTCACGTGCCTTGCTGCCCTAATATGTGGCCCTGGTACCCTGTCAGCAAATTCTGTGGGACTGGATTCAGGGTGTCTTCTTTCTGGGCCTCAGTTTTCCCATCTATGATATGAACAAACAGGGTCATCCAGCTCTGGTGTTCTATGCCTTTATGATGGTAAGCTGTGTCAAGCTGTGTGTAGCAGGACCCACACAGGTAAGAGGGAATGTATGTGTTCATGTGTGAGTGCACATGAGAGAGTGTCCATGTGTACATTCATGTAAATGTAAATGTACATGTTTGTGTATTCAGA